TCATTTGGGGGTGATCTAAGCAAGGGATTTAACTTCTCTTAGCCTCAGTTTCCTCACCGATAAAATGGGGGCAGCAACACTGACATCACTGACTTGGCCTAACCACAGAATGAGATTGTGACCTCTGCACACAGGGTCTGGAGCAGGGCACCACAACTAGCTCTTGCTCGTGCTCCCCAGCGTGGGGCAGGCCACCTGATGAGGGTGTTCTCCACAGTCAGGGAGAGACCAGGGGCAGCCGAGGGAGCCTGCGCACCACGTCGCTGCCAGCTCTGGGGCTCCGGACTGGCAATGAGGGTGACATCGGAGCTGTCACACCACACACCCCAGGTCAACCAGAGACTGAGGATGCTGGCTGCCCTGGAGAGAGGCAGGGTGACTGGAGTAAGGGCTGGGGTGGCAGGGGTGAGGGGAGAGCCTTTGGTTGGTTTACTGTGCCATACTTCCTGAATTCTTAAACGGGCAAAAATTCACCTATTCAAAACAATTTTTTTAATGTAATTGCCGAGACCAAATGAGTATGCAGCCTGCGGCCAGATGAACCAGAAGTGGGCTGGGGGTGTGAGCAGCCAGGGTGGCCCTGAGAATGTCCTGAGGATAAGAGCGGGGCAAGAGAGAGGAATGGGCATGGGTAGACCAGCTTCAACGCGAAGCCCAGCAAGCAACCAGGAGTAGGCAGGGACAGAATCCGTGTGCCTCATCATGACAGGAATTCTCTTCGAGTGTCCCTGGCTGAGTCGACTTAATACGAAATGACTCTGTCTGGTGTCAAGTTTGCTTCCGTTGAGATGTGGAAAGGACCACCATCTGAACCTCTCATTCTTAGTATCTGTACGATACAGTGAGAATGTAGACCTCAGAGAACTCTTGGGGCCAAATGTGCTTGTGTCCCGTTTCCTTCTCAGGAACTATCAACCCCATTTCAGAGATCAGAAAACTGAGGCTCAGGTCAAGTAGCTTTCCCCAAATGACACAGAGAACTGGGATTTCAGCGTAGCACGGTCGTTTTCACTTTGCTATGCTAGTCTGCACCTTCCTCCTGGCCTGGGCAACGCCTGGCTAGATCTCTACTAAAGTAGAACGGGAATGCCCCAGGAAGGGAAAGCTGAGGGGGTAAGGAAGAGCCTGGGGGTCGGGGCTGGTTGTCTGGCCTTCCACAGCTGCACTAGTCAGGCCGTGGGTATCTGAGGGTTAAAGACCTGCCACTGACCAGGGATGTGGGACATCAGGATATGGATCACCAAACAGAAGACCTGAAGGGAGAATCACTTAGAAAACCCGTGGTATTGGCAGCAGGGAGAAGAATGCAATCTATACAGTAAAGTGAAACACTTATCAGGCATCTAGAGAGGCACGTCTGTGGGAAGGGAGTCTGGTGAAACACATTCCCAATGTACTGTTGCTTAAAGAGCATTTCATGAGCACCTGTTTTTCAGAACATGCCTCCGACGGACGGTCTATAATTTGTTCTTCCCTCCCTCCCTGAAGTCATCCATGCAAGCAGGCAGGGAATCCACATTTAGAGAACATTGGACTCCAGGAACGGAGAGCCTGTCGATGGTGGCACGTCACCAGGAGCTACTCATGCTTACAAGGAGGTGACTTTCCTTTGAGAAAATCATCAGTTGCCCTCAGCGGCCAAGTCTGACACTATCACCTGGCCCAGACTGAGCGAGGTTCCTGAAATCACTGCCCGGACGGCCTCTACCCGCCTTCTTAGGTGAGTACACAGAGTCATTGGGGTCTATTTCCCAGCTGGCCCTGCCAACATCCTGCTGCATGAGCCAAGCTGCAGGTGTGCCCAGCTTTTGGAGGGAGAGGGGGCTTGGAAGCGCGGAGGGGTGTGTGTAGATGGGGCGGGGGCAGGGGATGATCCTGCTCAGAACACCAAGGCAAGTCAGATCTTTATAAAAACCCAGGGGATGGGCGTTGGCACATGAAAGGACTCAGTGAATGTACTGAGTATATGAAGATTCTTTTCATATTCACATTATAGAGGGAGCATGGGAGAAGGAAGGAGCGGGCAGAATAATGGGAGGAGAGAGGGGTTGCGGAGTTCAAAGGGTGTGTAGACAGTGCTGGAGGGGGTGTCTGCCCTGGAGGAAGGCTTTGACACAGCGGCCATGGTGGCAGAGTGTGCCCACAGCAGAAGGCCAGAGCCAGCCTCTCAGGACATAATGCATCATTGAAGATGTTGGTCGGGGGGAGGGGGGGCGCTGAGGGGTTTATTGATGAATTGGACTTGATATCAGGAAGTTACTAAATATCAAAGGTAGATGGAGGGTACCCCAGGGTTCATGACGCAAGTAGTTTTACTTTGGGTTACACTTGAAAGAAGCCATTTATAACAATAAGCAAAACACTTTTTTTCCAAAGGGGCGCTCCGAGGAGACCACACACGAGTGGAATATTAGCAGAGGAACCTAACCCATAAAAAGGAAAGCAGACATTAATGAGAACCATGTCTTGGATGGCTTTACATCACACTGCAAATCAGGGGGTTCTTAAGCAGGGGATATCGGGTGAGCTTTGAGGGTCCCTGAGCGCCCCTTCTTATATTGGCTGACAAGTGACCGGGGACTTTTCACCAAGGACTCTGACTTGCCTGGCAGGGGTTAGTCAATGATATTCCCTTAAACGTGCCACGCATCCATTAGAGGCACTGTGCGGGGCTTCTTTTACAGAACTGGCATATTCCCCTGTGGCCTGTATTTTCAGCTCCCTTCTCCTTCCATCCCAAGGTTGTTGGCCAGCTGGCCTTGCCACCCTGCTTCTTGGTGGCAGTTCCACCTTCTGTGTGTGTGGGGTGGGCAGAGCGTGTCCCAGAGAGAAGCAGTCATACTGACGAGGTGGACACAGAGACAGAGCAAAGGCTTGGGGAAGTCTGATGGGGATCTTTCTAGGAGGCTCCTTGGGGTTCCCCCTCCTAGAGTCTCCTCCCTGGGGTCTCAGAGAGTAACAAAAGGTGTCCCCACCCCCACTCCCAGAAGTTTCACTGTCTTTAAGCTGCAAATATCCAAGAGACCATGGTTTTTGAGTGTTCAAGAGACTCAAAACCTAGAGCCTTCATTCAATCCCCAGAAAAAACTCCTTAGGAAACCTTTCCACCCTCAGTCAGGGTGCCTAACCCCCATTCTAAATGAAGTCCAACATGTCTGGTTCCCCAGAAGAGATGGAACTGGCATCACCTGGCTCACAGCCCCTGATGCCTCTCGCCCACCTTTGTGGGTGGGCAAGAGAAGGCCGGCTTATTTTCGGGGGGAGTGAGGGTTTTATCAGCCCCTCTCACTCAGAATCATCTCCGGACATAAGTGACTGCTTGAAGACCAGCCCTCATTGGCTGGTCTGTGGAGGTCCTTTCTCCTCAGACCATGGTTTCACACAGGAACGTGGGACTGAGCCTGTGGCACTGGGAAGTCAGAGTGCGGGAGGATGGAGCTGGGGGGAGGGGTGGGGGTGGGGGTTGTCGCTCTGCGTGCTGTGCTCCACCAGTTCCCTTTTGGAGACCACGCCCCACTCTTCTACAGGAGAGCAGGTGCAGACAGGCGACAGAAGACTAAGACTTTGGGCTCCAAATGCTCTGCTCTTCTCCCCACCCCCTGCCTAACATCACATCACTTTCCCCATCCTGCACTTCGGGGACATGGAGCCCTGCTGGGAGCCTGCCATTCCTAGACCAGGGCCCAGAGCTAAAGGCCAGGGTGGGGCTGCAGGTTTCCTGGGACAGAGAAACGGGGTTGGTATGCATTGGTGGTTACATAATCTGTTGTCAATTTGAGAGGATTCAGAGTGAAGTGGTGAGTTTAGCCTGTCAATCAGTTGGCACATGGATGGCCTCATTTGGAGGTGCTAAGGAGATAAATAGCTCGCCCAAGGCAGGACACATGCACACTCCCTGGGAGACATTGCAGCTGACAGGACACATGGGAGCTAAGTTAGTGCCCTGAGCTGGAGGAACCATGTGGAGACCCCTGCCAGCGCTGAGATGCTTACCCTGCCACTGGATCCACAAGACTTCCCACCCACTGGCCTGTGATCTTCCTGTATTCGGCATCAGTACATGGGTTTCATGAGTCTGGAGAGGACTTTATAGATTGGTATCGGACATACGGGCTAATATCGGACTTATGGACTTGACCTGAACTGGACTGTTTTCTTAATGTACCATTACTCTTTATATAAAGCTCTTTCTTATACACATATGAATGTGCCTATGAATTTCTTTCTCTACTCTACCTGGACTAACACAGTGTGTGTCTGTCTGGACACTCATCTCAGGAGGACTGCCCTTCCTTATCCACCTCCACTCTCTCAAGTCTCATGTCTTCCCCCTCCACCACCTCCAAACACACACACACACACACACACACACACACACACACACACACACCTCATTTCAAAGCTTCTCCAGCTCCAGTATTTGGGCATCTTTCTCCACACCTCTCCCCTCTCATCTCTGTGTGGAATGAGCAACACCCCAGGAAGCTCCCCAGAGCAGAACCCCAGCTCCTCCAAACCTTGACTCCAAGGGCACCCTCAGAATTTCTCCATCTATGCCAATGGGGGACAGAGTACAGGAGCAGGGGCAGGGTACTGTGCCGGCTGGCATGTTTGGGTTGGCCTTCTCCTCCTTCTTTCCATCTTGTGCTCCCTTCCCTCAACTACCTCCATCCTCCCCTGCCCCTGCTCTGCCTTCACACCAGGTCGGGAAGGAAAGGGGGACTATCTGTTGGTGCTGAGCTTGGGGGCCATCCCTGCCCACGAGCCCTGAAGCATGGGCCCGTACAGGGGCTTTCAGAGACACACCGACCAAAAGAATAGGGTGAATGAGGACCTCCTCCTTGTACTCCCCCCCTCCACCCCCAGTGACTTTCCAGAAAGAGGCTGAGAACAAGGGCCCCAACGTAGGAGACAGGTTCCACGGAGAGAAGGCCCAGCGGCCCTTTCCCACGAGGTTGAGGAGGCCCTGTGAGGCACACACCACTGAAGAAGACACCGTGTTTGGTTGTTTGTTTTGTTTGTTTTAAACTGTGCTTTATTTAGGGCTAAGCTGGAGAAAGCGTCATCCAATAGTTACAGAAGGTTACAAGGAGTTTTAGGGTGTTGGGTGTGGAAAGAGCAGTTGAATTGAACTGCAGCTGTTTTTGTGTTTTGTTTTTTACATTTGGACATCCTAAAAGGAGGAGTCAAGAGGGAAAAAAAAAAGAAGAAAAATCAAAAAATGATTCTAATCAACCAACAAAATAGTCGGACAGAAAGGAAAAGCAGGAGACCCTCAAGAACCCGAGGTTAGTCCTTCTAAAGCAATTGTAAAGGGGGGAGGGACCCCCGCCACCAGTGTGGGGCATCAAGGCGGGTGCCAAAGCAAGTCTTCCCAATGGTGCAAATAAATTATAAATAAATATGTCATACTTTAAAATATATGTGTTCTTAAATAATTCAGTGTTTTTTTTCAGATTCTGAGTTTTTTTAAGCAATGTCTTTTTTTTTAACTGCTCTAAAGTCATTTACCAAAGATAAATATCGTGCTTTCATTAAATAGTTTTCCTTGTTTTTTTTTCTCTATCATTACAATTAAAAGTCCTACAAAATATGCAAATTTATTTACAGAAAAACAGAGCCGGCATCATTTAAACATCCCTGTTTTTCAAAATTCCTTGTAAACAGTTTCAGAAATTCTTCAAAGATTGTAATCTCTCTCTCTCACTCTCTCTCTCTTGTTAAGGTTTTTGTGTTTGTGTGTGTGTTGAGATGAAAGTTCCCAGTTCTCCCTTGCCCGGAAAGTCTCTGGAGCAAGCAGGTTAGGCGAGTGAAGCAGGTGAAGGCTTGCGGAGAGTCAGCGAGCGCAGCTCCGGAGCGGAGCCAGAGGCAAGGGCGAGGCGGCGAAGAAGTCCAGGCGGGTGGGCGGCCCTGCGCTGCCAATGGCCGGGCCTCCTCTGGAGATGGGCAGCCAGGAACCTGCAGGTCTGGGGCGAGTCCGGCCTGGCCTCAGGGGATAACGGTGGCCGACAGCACTCGCAGGGAGAAGGGATTGATGCTCAGTCTAAACGCTACGAAAGTACAGTCCTACAACATCTGGGATTTTAGCAGGAACGCTAACTTCTATAGGTTTTTTTTTTCCATTTTTAAATTTTTTTTTTTGCTGTCCTCTAATTTTCTTCTATTATATAGGTATTTTTAAACTTTTTTTCCTTTTTAAAATTCTGTACAACTATTGTGGATTTAACAGGGGGAAAGAGTTAGAAGCATTTACAGACTTTTCACAACAATGATCTTGCCTTGGAAATCCCTTTTTTTCCCCTCGTTGTCTTTCTCACACTTCACGGTTAACGAGTTTCCGTATTTGTGTTTCATGTTTGTGTGTCTGCTGTCCCCAGACAGTCACTAAGATTTCGTTCATCTTAACAGCTCCCTCCAGACATATAATACAGAAAACCATAGGAAAGTGTCATTGACATGGATGAGGGTAATCCAAGTATCAAAGAACTAGGATCTTGCTGATTTAAAAGCATTGAAGCATTGCCCCCCCCCCTTTTTTTTCTTTTTTTTTTTGTATTTTTTGTGTGTTTTTTATTACATTTTTCATAGAATCACTCGGAGCTGTTTCAAGAACAGCCCGGAGGCAGGAAGGAGGTCCACCCTCCATACCCCCTCTGTTGGACATAGAGCTACACATCTGCAATAAAAAGTTTGGTCCTTTGGTCCCTAAATAGCTAAAGGAATGACAGAGATGTTCAGCAGCAGCCTCCTGGCCGCACCCTGGGGACCAGGCCCCACCACACCGCTCGCCCAGCCTGCCTCCAGGCGCCCATGGGCTGGAAAAGCCCCAGGGATCGGTAAGCAGAGTCTCTTCCCAGTTCCCAGCCCTTCAGCCTCACCTTCAGGTTTCGTGTTATTTTGTCTTTAAAGTTGCCTTTTCTTTTTTTTTCGTGTGTGTGTTTGTTTTTGTTTTCTCATTTTTCTTCATCATCTTCGTCTTTAAATCATACGTGTTGTTCCCCAAACACGTGCCATCTGAACCCCATAGACGCTATGCTTTCAGTGAAGAAATGTTACAGTCACAGAGAGTGTCTGCAGTCTTCAGCTTGATTGATATTGGCTGATATGTCAAAGGTGTCATCCAACAGTTCTCATTTATAAATATGTATAGAGAGAGGTTTGTTTTTTAATGTAGCCCGTTCAGCATCCTGCCCTAAAATGAAGAAAATCAGGGCTGATTAAGCCAAGAGGGGCACTATGAAATACATCCAAACACCAAAAGAAGCCTGCCTGGGGAGTGGGGGGCGGGGGCGGGGGGATTCTGGGGGATGGTGATAGGGAGGGAGAGAGACCAGTATGATAATTAGTCACGATCATGATAAATTAAAAAAGAAATGTACTCTTCCATTTGGAGTAAGAAACCATTGGGCAGCCTAGTGGCGATGGTGGGAGAGCTTTAGCTGTCGGGAGAGGGTTCTCCATTTGGGGTCTGGATTAGGGGGCAACTGTATCTAAGGAGAGAATTTGGGACTGTAGGGTAGGAATTTAGAATTGACTTGTCTCTTAGGGACGGAGCCCAGATACAATATGTATACAGAAGCCTAGCAAACAAGAGAGCAAAAATCTAGTAGCCCAGCCCACTCCCCCCACCCCACTCCACCCCCTAATGGAAGAAAGGACCAAACTGAGATCCAATCTGGTACATGAAATTTTGTAGAACCCTTGCCCACCTTCCAGCCAACCACTTCTTTCCTGAGGTCAGTAACTATTTGCCAGGCTATGTATAGATATGTATATCTGGATATATGTGTAGAATATAATTACCTGCACATATGTGGATATACATTGAAATGTGTGTATGTATATGCATATATATACACATATATACACACACATAATATTTTTGTCAGACATGCCAAGGAATCGAGGCACAATTCAGAATTTCAAGGGCATGGGTGGGAGCGCCTAGCAGAAGGTAGAGCAGGCTGAATGATCCAACTTCAAGAGAGGCACTCAGCCAGTTCTCTTGGTTTGTTTTGGAATGGTGGGTTTTCTTTTTACAACAAGAGAAAAAATCATGATCTGACTAGAATCAGAAGGAGAATGCTTAACCACTGTGAATTAACAAATGAGACTCGTCTCCATTCTAGCAAGCAGCTTCCACTTATACATGGGGGTGACTGGTTACATCAAGAAAGTTAAAACTGCAAGGCCCCCAGTTGAGGGGACAACGTCATGCGTATATCAATCCATGCTGGCAGGTTTTTCACACTGTTGATTCAACAAACAGCAAACCGTACACAGCAGTCTAAACAATTACAACACCAAATAAAATAATAATAAAATTAAAAAACACTTGTCAAGGACCCTTTTTCAGTTGTAAACAAAAAGGTGCATTTTGCTTTTGTCAGTACTGTTTGTTTTCCAAACCAACCAAAAAAAACAACAAACACCTCCCAAGACCCCAGCCCCTCCCCACTGCCTGCCCACCTTTAATTTAGCGAAAGTGGTTATAATACAAACCTTACAATTGTTACTGGGCTCTCTCTCAGAGGCCTCTGGCTTGGTATGCTAGGTTTTTTTTTTTTTGGTTTAGAATTTTTCCCATTCTGTTACTGTATATATTTCAGGTTGTTTTGGGTTTTGTTTTGGCTTTGTGTATATATAAATATACACATTTTGGCTTTGTTTTTCCTTTTGGAGTGAGATTTAAAATAGCCTAACTAGAAAAAGGCCAGACCTAGGAAAGTGTCAATTGAAAAAGGCCCCCAAATTTCTAGAAAAAAAATAAAATCACAATATTTTCAAGTGCAAGTAAATCAACCACGCATAGATATTTTAAGATGTTTTCCTTATTTTAAATAAGCATAATAATAATGATAATAATAATAATGGTTTTGCATAGTTAAATAATCCCATGTTTGATAATTCAGGAATTCATCTTTACTTTTACTGATTTTTTTTTGTTCTTTTGTTTTTTTCTCTACGTGACACATCTAGAGAAGCATAAAAACACGCGGAACAAGAAAAACCAAACAACAGAAAGGAGGGACCACTGCAAGCACCAAGGACGAAACGAAAATGAGCACAGCAACAACGGTCGTGGCAGCACGAGGGCAAGAGAATGCACGTGTGATCATGACTGGCCAATCATCAACGGAGACAACATCCAAGAGAAAACGCTCCAATCACAGACCTCCACGAAACTTGACGGCAAGTGTCATGCAACCGATTCTTAGCCTTGTTACATGACGCCATCATGTCACACTGTGAACTTTGAGTTGATTTGAACTTACGGATGGGGGACTGTTTCTCCACTCTCATGTGATTACGTGAACTTTATTCCTAGCTCAGCGCGAGACTGTGGTGGATTTGACTGGCCCTGGTTGGGTTGTTGGAATTTGATTGAATGACAAAAGAAGAAAAGATTTATATATATATATTTATATATGTCTAGAGAGAGAGAGAGAGGACAAGAGTGTGGGGAGGGGAGGGGGAGAGGACCAGGTGGGGCGGGGAGGAGGGGAGTGTGGGAGGGCAGGGAGAGTGGGGTTGAGGGTAACGAGGGGCAAGGAAGAAGTTAAAACAAAATTAAAAGGAAAAATATTTATACAGCACCAGACCACAGCATCGATCTAAAAGCTCTGATGAAAGAACAGCAGTCAAATCATAAGAGAACTGAAAAGAACTCGAAGGATGGAGGAAGCCGGCAGACAACGGACGTGGTCACGTCAATACGCACACGCACACGTACACGCACGGTTGTTGATGCAGACACATGGTACGCTGTGAACAGTTGCAGAACCTCACACGGGGACACTAAGGGCATCCATCATGCGTAAGGGCGGGGAGGATCGGGGCATGGGTGGTTTGGTGAGGGGGCCTGAAAAAACTCAGGCAGCCCCTCAAACCACCTTGGCCAGCAAGCAAGCTGTCCGGTGGTCTATCCACCCTGGATGTTGCTCTCCCCCAGGTGCGGAGCGCCCACCTCCCGCCTTCTGCGTTTCAGCCTGGGACCAGCAGAGGGAGACTGCTAGATGGCCCGGACTGGCTGGGTAGGTCAGAGGCTGGCGGAGGTGACTGGGGACATCAGCAGGCTGCATCGGCCCCCTAAATGTCCTCCTGCCCCATGGCTCCCACTTGGGCCACCACCCTTACAGCAAGTGTCTCAATGTCAGAGCACCCACCGTGACAACCGCCGCCGCCACCGCCAGCGTCTTCCTTTCACTGGGCCTCAGCCCCTTTGCCTCAGAACCATCAGAAAGTCCCTGGGTTTCGGTTTGGAATGCTACGAACACACTTTGGCACTAGGGACTCCCTGTCACAATTCCTCCTGTCCTTAGCGTGGCTCCCAGGGCCCAAGCGGCCCATGGAGAAGCCCCTAGAAGGCTCCAGGGCTCCGGCCCATTAGAGGCCCAGGCATAGGCACTGCAGGGAAAGCTGGGGACTGTGGTCCTGGATCTTGTCCCTGCTGTTGTCCTTGTGGCTCTGTGACCCCTCACTCCTTCCTTCCTCTGCTCCTCACTACCTTGCACCCGGCAGGCCCCCTCTCAAAGGTCCCGGTCTCCTGAGGTGGGTGGGTCTGAGTTCTCGTCGGTCAACCAGCACCATAATTTTGCTTTTCCACCCCCTTGCCATTGCAGTGGCCCCTGCCCTGTCCCTGGGATGTGGGGGACCCCACCTGACCCCCTCTTCAAAGCTCTCCCACACAGCGGGGCTGTCTGAAGGGCTGCCAGACCAGCGGGATGCCACACTTCGCAGACTCCCACTCTGGACCAAAGCTCTGTGCCCTCTGGTGACTGAGGAACCCGGATGCAGTCTCATGGATGGCAGAGTTCCCCAGCCCTAGGGTTGCCCAGACAGACCAGGCGGTCGTGTCCTTACAATCCGGGTTCCTTCACCCAGGCCTTGGCCCACCACATACCCACCATCCTGAAAAGCCCCCGTTGCGCCTCCAATGCCTCCCCTAAGCCCTCAGAAACACCCACGATGCCCAACTGCCAGGGCCCCCCCATGGGAGTGAGAGAAGGGGCTGAAGACAGGAAAGCAGAGGC